GTTATTTTAATGGTTGATTTATTATCTGTAAACTTTAAGCTTTAGCTCCGTTTAAAATGCACTTCAAAAATTTTATAATAGCCCACCATTGCCAGAAAATAATTTCTATTCAAAATAGAGATGTAAGTAAAAATTGTGTGTTGTGTGCACCAGATTTTTACCTATGTCGCTCTAAAAAAGAGATGTTCAGCGTAAACCAAAAAATGTCCGAAATTTCAATGGTTTTTGGAGGCGACCCACACGGCTTTCAAGGGTGGAAAATTGGATTTTTTATATTTACTACATACCTAACAATATAAAAAAAAAAATTGAATCACATGACCTTTTGCAAGGTAACATGTTTAATTTGACTGGGCTGTATAAAAGAGATACAATTTTTGGTTGGCCTAGGAGAACGAGATCCAAGATAATATTAATTGTTTTGAAACAAGATGGAGACGAATTTTATAATTACTAGTATAAAAGCTTTGGTATATAACACGTTCCCACACTGGCTACTGAAACCATTTGTGAGTTTATTTATTTATTTTTTACTGTAGATCTTTGGCGCCTAAACGAGCTATCTTCTTGTAGTTTGCCACAGATAAATCTTTTTCTTTTGTAATGACTGAATGGTTAATTGGCATCGTCATTTTTAGTTTAAATTGTAAATATTTTTTATTTCTTAATGATATTTACAACTGTATTAAAGAAATACATTTAGTAAATTTGAAAATATGGATATAATGACGTGAAAACACTTGTTGAGAAACTATCCAATGGAAGCATTCTAATGATATGTCTACATTAGGAGATCACGGGGCCATCTTCTTTTCAGACGCCTCGGAGGGTTATCAGGAATTGAAGAGGAAGCAAGGTTAGAAACGAGAGGTTTGGGATGATTCTGAAGTTTATTATGGAAGGATAGGTATTTGGATTGGGCCAAATCTGAAACATAAGAAACATTAAGGTCTTTATGGATAGTTTTATTTGTAACAAAGTAGGGAGCATTGAGGATTTTACGAAGGATTTTGGACTGCAAGGATTGGATGCGAGAGGAATTCGATGGTTTAGTGGAGCCCCATAGCTCAACTCCGTAAGTCCAAATAGGCCTTATTATAGTCAAGTATATGAATACTTTGTAATTAATTGGAAATTTAGAGCGTTTGTCTAGCCAGTGTTGAAGTAATCGGAAACGTCGAGCGGTTTCTGGTCGTTTCAGTCTTGTATGTTATTGTAAATATAAGTGTGTTTTTGGTATCCCCAATAAAAATAGAGATGGGACGAGAATACCGTTTTACCCTCTCACTCCAGTATTTCGAGAAAAAAAAATTAAAAATAAAATCAAAATCATTAGCAATTAATCTACAGGAATGAATGAAGTATGTAAACTAAAATCGATTAATCAAATAGGAAAAATCGATTAGTTGGCTAAGCTCAGCCCTAGGAGTAGGTATGCAAGTATTTTACCTCACCCTATATACCTATAATTGAAATTTTAGTTTATATTTAAAGATAATTATATGTAAAAAATTATTATTATTATTATTCGTTTTACGATAATTATATTGATTTTATAAATTATCATTCATAATTTTTGTAAATAGTGTAAACTTCCGAGATTTTTTTTTGAAAAGGAGAGGGGGGAGGGATCCATTGCCTTGATTCCATATTTTTAATTAATCGAATAATTAATTTTCATTCCTCCCTTTTAAAAGTTTAGCTACTTCAGAAGTGTATTTATATATTTTTGTTAATAAACTGACGATATTTATGATTCTAATAATAGTAGAATAAAACAAAAATTTACATCAATTTTAAGCGTTGTTTTCAATTTTGAAAAAAATAATTGAGATTTATATAATTTAAACATTTTTTTTTTTAACCCTTGTGCCTTCATGTTTTCATATTTAACATTTCTGAATAAAGTTCTCAGTATCGTCATACTCCTCTTACTAAACCGGTTATCCAAAACCTTAAAAATGCAGCGGCCATTTTTGAACCAACACATCTTGTCTCTAATGCTCTATTTTCGAACCCTCTTGAACCTAAATATAAATTCTTGTACCCTCTTGAATGTACAAATGGGATCTTACATTTTAAAATAGTTTTTGGGTCTCTTTTGTAAGGGAAATATAAAAAATGATTGAGCATAATTCAGTTTTAATATTAACCTTAGCAACAATGAAATATTAATTGTATAAACACGTCCCCTAACCACGATTACCTCTCAGTATGTAAGATAGTTACAGAAAAAAGTAAAAAATGTTAAAAACAATAAATTTGTATATTTTATCGTAAGTTTATAATTTACAAGAATTGTAGTTAATTGTAAAGTGCTATTTGGAATATACGAAAAAGTATTTATGAAATCACAAAAAGTTCATATAAACAATTGACCAATTTCCAGCATAGAAAACTTTAGATTTGTGTTTTAGAGAGTCACCTTTTTTGTTGAATGAGAAGCGATAATTAAAAAAATATTTGATTTAAGGAATTGAAAATTGCTCCATAGTAAACTAGACAAAATTTACTTTAAAAAAATAGAATAAGCTGTATCATCGCTAGTACTGCTTCGATTCCAATGATTTTTCTTTTCTTTTGTTTGTAATTTAATTACCTTTCAAAAGTTTTATTATAAATTTTACCGTATAATATATATTTAGGGAGTTAGGCCCCATTTAAACAATTTATTTGATAAACTAAAGCAATGTTCTTCTCAGAGGGCTCTGAAACGTTTAGATCCGTCGAAAACCGCATATTGGAAATTTGACCTGAAGTATCCACAATACTTTCCTTACCTAGTATAGGTAGGAAAGTAATAAATTATAACATGTGTAAAAAATAGAATAAGCTGTATCATCGCTAATACTAGTTCGATTCCGATGATTTTTTTTTGTTTTGTTGGTAATTTAATTACCTTTCAAAAGTTTTATTATAAATTTTACCGTATAATATATGCTTAGGGAGTTAAGCCCCATAATATTGTTCTTTTCCTCATAACTTTTTTTCCTGAATTTTCTCGAGAATTTAGTCCATATACGAAAATTGAAAAGACAATTATTAGAACATTATAGGAAAGTGTCATAAAAATCTTTAGAGCCGTTTTCGCGCTTCAGTCTATAGAAAAACATGTTTTTCATTGCGCAAGCTATTGCGCATGGAGCACCGAATTTCTGTAACAGGCATCAGTAGTCAAACCCCTACAAAATAAAAAAAGAAGCAACAAAATCAGTTCAGTAGTTCCCGGAGAAAATCTTGACAAATACAGACAGACAAGACAGACAGACAGACCAATGACTAAAAATACGTTTTTCGGACTCAGGGGTCTCTGAAACGTATGGATCCGTCGAAAACCGCATGTCGGAAATTTGAACCGATCGCAATACTTTCCTTACCTAGTATAGGTAGGAAAGTAAAAAACTATGGAATCACAGAATGGTTTTTTTATTTATTTATTTTTTTTTATTTATTTATTTTTTTTTTATTTATTTATTTAGACATATAATATTCTGCCACAGGGACAATAATTATATTGATAAATGAACACATTCACACCGTATATGGTTTAAAATACCAGCATGGTTTAAATTTTTTTTGGGAGATTTTAATGTCTGCTATCACACAATACTAATTATATGAAATCAATGACAATCAAAACTTTATTTCACTATTTATTGATATCGAATACAATTCTTTTGTCAATTTCGTTTGCAATCATCACAAAAAATAAACGCTGCAAATTATTCCACAATGGTTTATTATTTCCAAACAATTATACATCTAAAGTAACATTACCTTCCTAGTTACAAAAAATAAAAAAAATAAAAGGTGATTCCAATTATTAGACTAAACTTATTTTTAATCATTAGTAATATGCTAAAAAAAAAAAATAGCATTATTTCAGTAACACATTGAAAATGTAAAAACCAAACAATGGATATAACATTTGAAGTAGAACATATGAAAAAAACCGGAGACCGTATCTTTTGCTCTTAATTGTCCGATTTTAACGATTTTTTTTTTTTTTTTTTTATGAAATTTCGTAATCTCTTAAAAAACCAACGTGAAACCTCAAATTTTGAGAGGGAGTTAAGTTTTTGAATTTTTTGATCAATCACAATGGTTGATTATTGAAAATAATAAACCAAAAATATTTAAAAATCGCGATATCTCTACTAATAGTGCTTTGATTTCGATGAAACTTCCTTAATTTTTACTTTCACTTACGTATATATGTAATATATATTAAAGGTAAGTATTGCGATCGAGACAATTTTTGAATCTGAGTTTTCAACGGAAATAGACGTTTTGAGGTACCCGGAGTCGAAATGACCAAGTCCCGAAAAATGGTCTATGTGTCCGTGTGTCTATGTGTCCGTGTGTCTGTGTGTTTGTATGTTAGCAGTCTAGCTCAAAAACGAAAAGTCCTACGAAACTGATATTACGTATTTATGATAGGTATATGCCTTAGATGTGACGGCAACTTTTCCCTTAAAATCGGCTAACCGGAAGTGTCACTTTATATTAACGCTGAAACACATTTTCACAGTTTTCTCAAAAACGGCTCTAACGATTTTGATTAAACTTGGTGTATCATTCTATAATTAAGTGGTCTTTAATATCAATTAGATCTTATGCCCATTGAAGTCACTTTACAGGGCTTAAATGCCCAATGTTCATATACTTATATCTTTGAAACTTCATATTATAATATCTATTAATTTTCAACCTATATAAAAAAAAAAAAAGAAAAAAAAAAAAAAAAAAAAAAAAAAAAAAAAAAAAAAAAAAAAAAAAAAAAAGGAAGTTTGACCTTACTCAAAAATATAGAAATTGGAGTTATTCAATCTATCAACTGAAAGGCTCAACTGTTAATATTGATAAAATAATACTCAAATTTCTGTAAATATTTTAAAAATTTATATTTATATTTAAAAATTTTTTTTTTTCTCTGGACCATTTTAAGAACCACCCATTGAACCATACTAAATCACTAATGATATCGATCTCTTTTCCAGCTTATCCTCAACTCCATGCACAAGTACCAGCCGCGGATACACTTGGTGAAGAGACCGGAAGGTGGCGCCACCGCCCCCATCACCGACCTCGAGCAGGAACAGTACAAGACTTTCGTCTTCCCCGAGGCCATCTTCACAGCAGTCACCGCCTACCAGAATCAGTTGGTGAGTTACCTCAACTGTATTATATATTTATAGTTTATTAGTAGATAGAACTAGGAAGCTCAATGAGTAAGGCATAGTGATCCTATGCTCGAGGCTCTAAGTTCCAGGGTGGCTGCTACTGGTTATTATTTATTGAGTTACATCAAACGATACTGGGATCAACATATCCTCTTGGGGCACACCCAGCCTCTATAAAGTTCGTACAGTTTTTTTTTTCTAGTAAAAGCAAGTCTTATTTTCCCAGTAAAATATTTTAATTATCAGTTATAAAATTTAATTATAAAAATTTATCCGGGATTAGGTCAATAACAATAAAGAAAGTCATTATGAAGAGTTTAAATGGTTACATAAAAGGGAGCATCGACTATTGTCACTAAAGTCATATGGATATAATAACGTGAAAACAATTGCTGAATAACTACCTAATGGTAGCACTCTACTGATATGACTACATTAGAAGATCACGTGGCCATCTTCTTTTCAGACCCCTCGGAGGGTTATCAGGAATTGAAGAGGAAGCAAGGTTAGAAACGAGAGGGTTCGGATGATTCTGGAGTTTATTATGGAAGGATGGGTATCTGGATTGGGCCAGATCTAAAACATAAGAAACATTAAGGTCATTATGGATGGTTTTATTTGTAACAAAGTAGGGAGAATTGAGGATTTTACGAAGGATTTTGGATTGTAAGGATTGGATGCGAGAGGAATTCGATGGTTTAGTGGAGCCCCATAGCTCAACTCCGTAACTCCAAATAGGCCATATTATAGTCATGTATATGAGTATTTTGTAATTAATTGGAAATTTAGAGCGTTTGTCTGGTAAGCGTTGAAGTAATCGGAAACGTCGAGAGGTTTCTTGTCCTTTCAGTCTAGTACGATTCTTCTTCTTAATAAATTTAAAGTATATACGATAATTGGAAGACATTTTTATTTGTGTATAAAGTCTACTAACATTTTTTTAAGATTTGGACAATAATTAAGTTATATAAATTTCCAACTGAGGGCTGAGTTTATTTATATTTTCTTGAAAAAAAAAGTAAAATAGTGAATCTTGAGAAGGTAGAAAGTTAACAGTATGGCGGGAAACCTGACAGTCATAAATTTATTTTACCCCTTATCATCACGCGCTCCTCATTGAGATAACGAATTAATGGTTCTCAACTCTCTATCATCACTTCTGAGCTGGTCTCGTTAAGGAGAGCTAATTATTATACCATGTTCGAGAAAATATCATGTTTAAATACCAATAGTTCCAACGAAATTTCAGTTAATTTTAATGCATAAATTTGAAAAAAAAAATCTTCAAAATTATTATCTGATTCCACAGGTGAATCTATGGGAGAGGAGGGGAGGAACTTTCACGCTGAAGCCCTCCACAAAATGATAAAATGTAACCATGTTTTATGGAAAAAATTATCTCTTAAAGTATTATTGTTCGTGTAATTACATTTAATAGGACTTCAAGAATCACTTAAACACCACTTCATATAGGTAGTTAGTATCTTTATTTTTTTTCCAAAATAATTATATATATATATATATATATATATATATATATATATATATGAGGGAAAAAAAAACTTAGGCGTGAAGTCCCCTCCCCCTCCCAAAAAAAAAAAATAAATCCTGGATCCACTAGTGCCTGATTCTCTGAAGGTTTAGAAATAGTTGAAATAATTTTAATACCATGAATAACACATTTCATACACTTATTACACAAAAGCTTAACAGCTGAAAAAGTTAAAAAAAAAATCCTATTTTACAATAAACTAGCTGATGTTTCCGTCGTTGTGTGGTGTATAGTTGAAATTTGAGAATCTTTTTTTGAGATTGATTTTATATTTTGGGGGAGAAGGACAAAATTCAATTTCATAAAATTGGGTCGGGAGGGAAGAGGAGGATTGTTTTGAAATATTTTATGGCGGGGCTTATGGAAGTCAAGGTTTCGCAATAGTCATAACAAACACTTTGTTATTCGGCTATTTATTTAGATACCACACAACTAAACCGACCACCACCGATCCATTAAATTTATTAAGTGTTTAAATTTCATTTATGATGAAGCGAGGAGATTGTGTAGTCGATTAATTAATCAAAAAGAGTTGTAGTCTCTCCACTTCTTTAAACTCTGCTGAGTTTATCGATGGCAAAATAACCAAAATAACATTGGACATTGAGTCACCTAAATCCGTGTAAAATTAGAACTTAATCTGAATATTGTGGAGGGCGGGGTAAAACTTTTGGGATTTTTTTCCTGAAATCCGGTTGATCCGTTTGGTTAATCCTAAAAATGTACACGACTACATTTTTTAGACTCGTGAAGTTGAATCGAATGACACCTTAAGCGGGAAGATCGGACAATGTTAAAAAATCAGTGTCTTTTGCCCATTTTATGCGACAAGCTGTTACAGATAATAGGTATTTCGGATTTTGTCGTTAAGTTGTGATATTTTTTCCATCAGTTGAGCAGTACAACTTTTAAATGAGGCGATAGAGAAGGTTAGCATGAGAATGCAAGTAAGTAACTGTCTAACCGTGATCTCCAGACAAATTACTCAAGAATTCTTTGGTTCTACTCAATATTTTGTTTTCATTTAACTCCTATATTTTTATCTAAAGCAAACCTAAATATAATGTCAAAATTTCAAAAGTCTACCATTAACCATCACCGAGCTTACCCCTGTCAAAATTTCGTTGGACAATGCGGACATCCAGACAGACAAAACATTTTTTAAAACTGGATTTGGTGTCTGAAATGTATAAAACAGAAAGATATAATGAAAGGGTTTGATTCTATTCAAAGTACAGACAAAACCTTTATTTTATTTATATTGATGATCTTTAACCTATATACATTAGTTTATTATTATCAACATTAACCGAGATCTCTAGACAAATTATTCAAGAATTCATAACTTCTCAATATTTTGTTTTCATTTAAAACCTATGTTCTAAGTCAAGCAAACCTTAATATAATGTCAAAATTTCAAAAGTCTACAAAAAGCCATTCCTGAGTTTACCCCTGACAAACTTTCGTTGTAATGCGGACATACAGACACACAAAAAAATCTTTTAAAAGTGGATTTGGTGTCTGTAATGTATGAAACGGAAATATATAATGAAAGGGTTTGATTTTATTCAATGTACAGACAAAACCTTTATTTTATTTATATAGATGTTGTTTAAGCTATGAACATATGTTTATTATTAACATTCATTATCAACATTAACCGAGATCTTTACACAAATTACTAAAGAATTCATAACTTTCGCTCTACTCAATATTTTGTTTTCATTAAAAAGCCTATATTTTAAGTCAAGCAAACCTAAATATAATTTTAAAAGTCTACCATTAACCATTGCCGAACTTACCCCTGTCAAAATTTCGCTGGACAATGCAGATATCCAGACAGACAAAAAATCTTATAAAAGTGGATTTGGTGTCTGCAATGTATGAAACGGAAAGATATCATGAAACGGGTTGATTCTATTCAATGTACAGACAAAACCTTTATTTTATTTATATTGATGATCTTTAACCTATATACATTAGTTTATTATTATCAACATTAACCGAGATCTCTAGACAAATTATTCAAGAATTCATAACTTCTCAATATTTTGTTTTCATTTAAAACCTATGTTCTAAGTCAAGCAAACCTTAATATAATGTCAAAATTTCAAAAGTCTACAATAAGCCATTCCTGAGCTTACCCCTGACAAACTTTCGTTGTAATGCGGACATACAGACACACAAAAAAATCTTTTAAAAGTGGATTTGGTGTCTGTAATGTATGAAACGGAAATACATCATAAAACGGGCAGATTCTATTCAATGTACAGACAAAAACTTTATTTTATTTATATAGATTTTGGGGAAAGTTACTTTGTTGTATTGTTATTTTAATCTGTTATAAAGATTCATAATTGAAAATTTGATTTTGTTATTTGTATTTTATTTATGTGTTGGCAGAACACCAAAGTTCTGTTCCGTATGTCCATATTGGTCTCAGTATGGTGTTGTAGATCAGTCGCCTGTTTCGTAAGTCAAGTTCTTGCCTTTTTAATTTAGTATGTATGTTCTAGGTAAGTCTTTTGTCTAAGTAGAGTCGGAGGTACCGTACCTATTTTTTTAAGGCACTGGGCCATTGAAAAAGTTCCTAGAATTTTTGTAAATAAAATATTTGTAGGTTACGATGAGATGATGCTATTTACGAAGTTTTAGGCGGATATTAATAATTTGATAAAAAGAGATCTGTGGGACTAATAGCGACGAGTAGTACAATTAATAAACCATGATCCTACATTTTAATCCCCTTGAACCTCCGTTCTATTTTAACGAATGTTCTCACTCCTTAGGGATCCTGTATATAGCTCATGTCTTTTCATACCAGCTCTCAATTTGAATTTAAAATTCTAGCAGGTCCTCGGGTCTTAAAGAGATTGTCCTGTCTGTGCCTTTGTTCTCAAAAGATGTTAAATAGTGGAACATGTGAGACTGCTCCATTCAAGCGATGCCGCAGTAGTTGCCATTGTCAATGATTCGTTCCCGCCTCGTCGAGGACTTGATGATCATGTAGGCTGTGGAATTACAGAAAGGGGCCTTCTAAATTACAGATAAACCTCTCTCGACGGACAATGGCATTACAAAAGGACATGGAGAAGATATGGCAATAAATTACTTAATGGATACTTCAACAGATCTTTTCATCCACCAATGAACTGAATGGATTAAAACGTTTATAGAAAGTATCAATTATGGTAGGATAATTTTTTTAAATTGTCAACAGCTGTTTCCTTGACATTTAGGTGACACAAGTGTTTACGACACTTCGTCATGTTGTTGGAAATTATTTTTTTAAACATTTGTTATGATGATTATCGATTTCTGTTGGTTCTTATATGTAGTGTTGTCCAGAATCGGTCTTGGTCTTGCGAAGTGCCAAAATCGCCAAATTGTTCCAAGACGAAGACTGGTAAATTCTCAGTTATATCTCTGT